CAGGACTACACTGGAAAACAGGCCAAGCTCCAACATCTAGAAACAAAGGTGTTGATGGCAGCAGCACAGCTGATATTTCTCTCCAGGATGGCGTAGGAAAGTATGAAAAGCAACTATTTAACTTTGAGTACAACAAACAGAAGGCCACAAGACTTTTATCTGGGTCTGAGGCTTTGGTGCAATCCAACTCATACATTCATGAATGTTTTCGTTTAAAGCATAGAAATCAATCACCTTTAATCTGAATGAGCTCAGAAATGAGGTCAGACTAAATGTTTTGTCAGATTGATGAGAATTGTACCATAAAGATCAGAATGTTTGCAGATCTGTTGGGAATCGTTTGTTAAGAAATGTTAGAAATGAACATTGAAAGTCTCCCCTTTACCCCGTTTCCTGTAGGCGCCCTCCCCGCCACGGTCCAGGGAAGCTACGCCGAGACCCGACCCACTTCCTCCACCGGCCACATCAAGAGACCCATGAACGCCTTCATGGTGTGGGCCAAGGACGAGCGCAGGAGGATCCTCCAGGCTTACCCAGACATGCACAACTCCTCCATCAGCAAGATCCTGGGTGAGTCCTCCCAGCGGTGGGGAGGGATGGGTTTCTGCTTGCCTGCGGCCTGCATTGTGTGAGGAACCAAGACGCCACCAACGCTCAGTTTCCAGGAAATCCTAAGGTTTAAGGAGACCTTGTAAAGCAAACCTTAGCTTGAATGGGGGACATTTGCTAACCAATCAGAAGCTGGATGCCGTGACTCCAAGCTCCCCTGTTAACCAATACAAACACGTTTCTATGGTTACCGCTGCAACTCTAACAATAGCTCATACTCACGCATGCAGATGATGAACTCCTTTACTTCACTCACATATTTACTCAGTATTTAGTAGGTATAGAAATACTGGGATTAGGATTATTTAGAGCAGTAAACTGACTGAAGAAGCTGACAGAATAAAATTATTGGCTTATTTTTATTCGGTTTTCATTAAAACTGTGGCAGATTAAGGTTCTAGTTTCTAAAAGTGCAAAACGTCCTTCATGACTATAATTAGTTTAGAGTCAAAATAAACCTGGAAACATTTTTTTTCATTAATTAGTCTTCATAATGTGAACCTGAAGTTTTATCACCAGTGAAACTGTTAGCTAAAGCATGTTTGTCTGCAGGCACCAGGTGGAAGGCCATGTCCAACCAGGAGAAGCAGCCGTACTATGAGGAGCAGGCCAGGCTGAGCAGGCAGCATCTGGAGCGTTACCCCGACTACAAGTACAAACCGCGGCCCAAACGGACCTGCATCGTAGAGGGCCGAAGGCTGAGGGTGGGCGAGTACAAGGCCATGATGAAGAGCCGCCGACAGGAGCAGAGAGCCTCCTACGCACACAGGTACACTGCAAAACATTTCTATCTAAATAATCACTTTTTCTTAAAATAAGTCATTTTTTCTTGAACTGAGTCAGTAAGTGAGACACTTTGCCAACAGAACAAGACAGTTTACATTTAAAAACAATCGTATTTTCTTATTTCAAGTGCATATTATCTAATTATCTCATTTTAAGAATAAAATATTCAATCCATTGGCAAATCTTCTCATTTAAAAACCCAAATTAAAGTTAAATACATTTAATTTACGACATCTTTCCTTATTTCTTCATGGTTTTTGTTGTAGGGGAGGCCATGAAGGCCAAACCTCCTCAGGTTCAGTGTGAAACTGTGTAACGCTGCAAATAAAAACACTAAGAACAGTCTGTGAGAGAAAATGGCTCATATCTTTTCTCCTGTATGTTAATTGGAGGGCTTTGACTAGGCCATTCTGAGAAGAACATGCTTCAATCTAAACCAGGTTCCAGAAACTTTCACAATCGGCTTTTAAAAAATGACATTTATCAGGAGCAGCAGAGCCTGAATCTGGCTTAAAAAAGACGATTTATCAAGTTTTACAAATGATTTGTCTGTTTTTTATGTTAAATGAAGAACAATTAAAGTTTTATAATCAATCAAAGAAAAAGGAGCATCCATCATTTACGAGGGAAAGAAAACACTTTGATAACTTTGTGCTGTTGGAATGGAAGCATTCCCACAGCATGATACCTCCACCGTCAGAGATGATGCGTTCAGGATGATGTGGTGTTAATTTTCCTCAGGCCGTAGGGTTTTACCTGTAAGGTCAGTTCAAAGAAAACGCCTCAATAATAATGCTTTTCATACTTGATATCGGCGTTTATGACAGAAGGTGATGAGTCTGATGGCGTGCTGTGATGCTGACGTTCCCTCCTGTCTTCCAGTCAAACCGAGCCGCAGCAGATCCATTACTCCCAAAGCGACGGCCAGTATCCAGCCGGCGGCTCCATCTCCGTCCCAGGCTTGCCGTTTCACCCCGCGCTGCTGGAGCACTACCTGCCGCAGGTCCCGCCCCCTGGCCGCAGGCCCGAGGGCCGGGCCACGCCCACCCCGCAGCCCAGAGACAGAGAGAGGAAACGAGAGAGGGAGCGTTCCCCCTACAGCGAAGGAGAGGAAAGCGACGCGGGAGAGAGGAGCGAAGGGGAGCTAGTGCTCCTCACAGACTGATGAGCAGAACTGGGAGGAACTGGGAGGAACTGGGAGAAAAGATGGTTTTAATCATCAGAATCTTAAGTCCTGGACCCCCACATGTTCCCCCTTTACCTCATTACAGTGGAAAATCAGCCCCTGGCATCTAAATCATCCCATGCTTTGTGTTTAAACAGGATTCTTCTACTTTAAAAAAGTTTTTATTTAATCCGTCTGCTGCTTGTTTTCCTTTCATGATGCCTTTTATCAAACAATAGATCCACAGCCATGAGAATTAGAGCAGCAAACTGACCAGCTGAGCTAAAGTCTGTCATCTCTGGGTCTGCGCTGCCACCTGGTGGTAAAAATTGTTTATTACAAGTCAGAGTGGGAAGAAAAACTTCACTGCTGCTGAAATCTAATATACCGACCAAAGAAAAGCTGATAGAAAGCAGGTCAGATCAGGAAGCTCAGTGTCTGCTGCTGGTTCTCCATCTCCAGATGCTTTTATTACCCAGGATTAAATGTTTGAAAACAGCCTTTAAAATAATTCATGTTAAGAAAACGCATATCAATCAGAAATCCAACTCTTAGTTTAAGATCTGGAGTAAAAATTGAACATTTGTTTTTAACAAACTCCTCAGTTAATAATCATTTTAACATAAATTAATCTGTAGATTACTAGAAGTTTTAAACCAATTCATGGCTCCTATAAACCAACACTGGAAAAAATCTAAACCTAGATAAGTCATTTTTTCTTTAAAAAAAAGTGCATTTTTTCTTGGTTTGAGGAGAAAAAAGAGACACTTTGCCAACTGAACGAGACAATTTACACTTCAAATAAGAAAATATAATTTCATTGTCTTATTTCAAGTGCATATTACGTAATTCTCTCATTTTAAGAATAAAACTACTCCTTCCATTGGCAAATCTTCTCATTTATAAACCCAAATTAAGGGTAAATACATTTAATTTAAGAATTTTTTATTTATTTCTAGATGTTTTTTCCAGTGAGAAACCATATTTTTGGACAGTGCTGGTCAAAGCTCTGATGCTCTGAAGCAAAGTGAGTATTTTCATGCCATGAACTTTGAGAATCTGCCTTTATGACCAATCAGGAAGCGATGCACCGACTTTAGCCAGAACAGGATGCTTTGGTCCGATCAGCTGAAAACTGAGCTGTATGGCAAGCAGTTCATACCCTCCTGCTATTTGGTACGATGGCCAGTGCAGAATAGAGCTGGATAACCTGCAGGGATCTGCAGTTTTTTCCTCTCTGCAGACCTTCTGCAGCAGACCTGCAGGCTGAGCCGTGAGCGCAGCTTTATCCGCTGGTAATCAGCTGTCCTGCAAGCAGAGAGAACAGATATTCTGCAGCCTCGGTACCCTCCTCATTCAGCCATGGCCGTGATCCCCCCCCACAGTCGCGCCTCCTTTCCTCTGCGCTGTTTACTTCTCCACAGCTGGGTGGGTTTAGTCCAGCCTGTTGCTTTCATGTGTTTTTGTTTTTTTAAAGTCTTTTCTTGAATGTTGTGTTGAATCTGTGCATTTGAATACATGTTTTTATAGTTTTTTTTTTATTGTTATTTTGGGGAATAATTATACTGAAGTTAATTTGAGCAGCTTGATCATCTTTCCTGCTCTTGTTTAGACGATCCAGCTGGAGGAACAATAATCCTACAGATTGAAGCGGATGTCATTCATCCAGGATGAAGCGGTAGCGTCTCGTTAATCTGATCACAGAGCTGGATGTAGAATAAAAAGAGTGATTAAAACACCTCTGTAGCATCTGATTGGACAGGGATCTGATTGGATGTAGCTGGACCTCCATCCGTCTCATGGTGGACAGGATCTGTTATTCGATAGCACTTTCCAGTTTCATGGCGGCACTGGTTATGATGGGAAACTGACTCCGGTTAGTTCTCCTTTACTGAGGGATCATCTGGTGGGATATTAAATCACATTTTACCTGCTTTTAATGAGCGAATGGAGTTTTCTCTGCCTGTTTAACCATTAAGCATATTCCTCCCCTCCCTCACCTGTTGCTGTGTCCAGAGGTGGGTTAGATATCCAAAAGGTTGTACTTAATTAAAATCAGAGCGATACTTTAACCCCCTAAGCAGCGACTGCAGGTTAACTAAGCAGAAAGTCACAGAAGCTAATGTTAGCTACAAAAAACTATGTTTTCTTTTTTTATATTTAAGCTACACTTGAACCCAAAGTTATTCTCACTCCTTTAAGATACTTCTCACCAGAAATGATTTTAATGATATTCATCAGATTGAATAGATCGTTCCTAGAATGACTCCTTCCTTTAATGAACCTCTTCAGCTTTTTCAGGCAGACTTTTCAGAGCCGGATCTCCATCATTAAAGGGCTTATTTGGTGTCCATAAATAAGGAAACATGGTACTTTCTAAATGTTTTAGTATAAAGTCCAGGAGTGGTTGTTGTCGTGGGTCTGTCTGCAGTTTGTTCATCCACCATGAACTGAGGAGGAGGTTCGCTTCTTAACATCTAAACATTTATTCTACACAAACATGCTGGATCTTCTGTGTGCAGCGTTTAAAAAACTTTATTTTATTACATACTGGAACCACCTGTCATTACCCTGCTGATGTAAATATAGATTAAAGTTTATTTTGTTTATAAGAGCTTGTGTAATTTAAAGTTGTACATTTCCATATGTTTTCAGAGTTTTTGAAAGAAAATAAACTGGTTGTTTTAATGATGTTTGGTGTTGCTCTTAATTAGTTTCCTTTATTTCTTAAAGGAAAAGTCCGCTCATATCCAGAGTACTCTGAAAGTAGTTTAACTCTGAGATGATTACATTCTGCTCAATAAATTATCAGTGTTTTTAATTCAGAGTGAATTTCAATGGTGAAGTCCTCTGGAAATCTTCAATAATTGTTGTTGATTGCAGATGTGTCTAGTAGTTCCCATTGATTTAGCTTG